TATACACACAGACAGAATATTGTATACATAATAAATAAATAAATGTTTAAAAAAAAATAATAAATATTTTAAAAATTGTACCAAAAATGCAAAGTAAGCGAGAAAGAAATTAAGAGAAAGACTGCTGCTAATAAGTTGCCTCAATGCATTCTGGGACAGCTTTTCAGGATTTCTGGTTCACAATCAAACTTGTTGGCCTGACAGAAGTTCACCAACATTCTAGAACTGAAAAGCAACTTGTACACATGTCAAAAAGGCCTCGAAGTCCTGGTGGTAGATGCCACCACTTCAGGAAGTTCTGTGAGATGATGAAGCAGAGTAAAATGGAAACCAGGAAACAACCCTGGGCACCCACACCTCCCTGCAAACACGTGAACGGAAGAGCTCACCCTGCTGTCCAGGCTGAGAGGGACAACGACTTAGCAGCCTGGACACAGAAGCAAGGCCCATGTCCTTCTTTGACTCTGGTAGCACTATGACACCTACACTGTCAGTATCACTGTTTAATAAACAGGAGGTTCCTACCCCACAGACTGTATCCTGCTTCCCCAAATACCTTACTGTATTTGAAACTAAGTCAAGACAAGAATAGAGGAAGACTTTCTTCTTGGGGAAAGCATCAAAGGAAAACATCACCTCACGGGAGCGAGAGGCAGAGGCTCAGTCCTCAGTGGGACACCCTTCTATACAGCACCACCACCACCACAGCTGGGGAAGATCACAGGAGAGGGGCAGAGAGGATGTAAGAGCTGGGGGATGACGAGAGCCATGGAAGGTGAAGTTTTGCACTGACATGGTGGTCACATTCATGAATGCATAGAAGCTATAAGACCTGTAAGAGTCCTGGGTGAGCCAAATCTAGTCAAAATTCCAGCACAGATGGGTGAGGTGTGCTCCAGACCTCACCCCATATTCCTTGCTGGGGAGCTACTAGTGTTTGGTAGCAGCTGGGGGAGGAAGGACCATTCTTTTTGTTTCCCTAGCTCCAGAGGATGGCCCCACAGCCACACACATGTGGAAAGTGCTAACGGAACTGAGTTGGTTATTAAGGGCGGGGGGATAAAGTTGGGCGGGGGTTGTATTAGGAGTCTATTTGAGGGGCCTTAAAGGGGAAAAATAGAGGATAGAATCATGTGTCATTGTATATGTGTATGAAATTTTCAAGAATGATGAAAAAACTGACTTCGCAAATATCAAAGGAGAAATTTCTAGAACTCATTTTCAGTTCCAAAGAGTTCTGATTCAAACAGCAGCAATTCAGACATGACTCAGTATAAAAAACATCATGCTGAGTAAGCGCTAAGAAAACATTCTCATACAGCAACAAGGCGTAATTGGAATTGTCATTTTGAAGTATCAACGCTTGGTCTGCAGATGATGGTGAACGACAGGGAAGGGGGCCAAGAAAGTAAACGAGGGGCTTCTCCTGGAAGGAGGTGCAACCTTCTCGGCACAAAGGAAATCCAATATCCAGACCACATGAAAAGTGATCGCTATGGGAACGGCGCAGCTGTGAAAATCCACGTCAGTTTGTATTAACTGGCCTGGCAAGTTTATGTAATGCAGGACTCGCTGAACAGCCACCGACAGGAAATAACTCTGGTAACAAAGATACCATACCTGTGTTTAATCTGATGCTTATAAGGAGGGAGGACGAAAAACAAAAAAGCTATTCTCTCAAGAATAAGAAGGGGCAGGCAGTCTGAGGTATGTTTGGGGTTCTTTTTAGACAGTATCTTATGGGGCAGTTTAATTAGAAACAGCAAGAAAGCAAGAGCTCACATTTCTCTCTAGAACCCATTATCTTGGTCGCATTGATGAGCTAGGCCTGCAGAAAGCCACAGGAAACTCCTGGCACCAAAGGGTTTCAGTTTGAAAATAATCCTGCCAAGTTATTTGGAGACCAATTAGTTCAGTTCTACAAAGAAAAGACAGACAGACAGACACAAAGTCGTTTCCATTAAGGAAACCCATGTCTCTGCAGATAGATGTGCACATGGCCACCCTCAGGGTCCTGACAAAGAGGACACAGGATACTTTGAGACACAACAAGAGGAATGAGCTTAGAGGTCATTTACCCACAAATTCTAAGTTTTAAATCTCAACCGGACACTTGAGACGCCCAACAATAAAGCAGGCTTAGTTTACTCTCAGAGCAGAAAGGAAAACAAACCACTCTCCACTTGGGACTGCCTAGATTTAACCAAATTCATCACTGTGGTTTATCGATCCCAAATTCCTGTTAGACCAACGGGTCAGGGCTTGGCTTCTCAGAAGACTTAGCTGCGTGAAGTTTTCAACAGAAGCTTTTCAACTCTAAGCAGACTTTTCCTAGAACTCAATTTTCTCAGCACTGCCCACGCAGGAGGCACAGCTGGGAAATCCCAGGTCTTTAACTGAGAAATGTCAGCTTGGAATGAGTGACCCCCAAAAGCTACTTTACATAGCACCCCGAGTAGGAGTCTAAAAGGGTCAGGTTGAAGGTTTAAGGCAGCAGTTCTCACCTGTGAGTCATGACTTTGGGGCCTAAACAACCCTTTCACAGAGGGTGCATATTAGGTATCCTGCATATCAGATATTTACACTATGATTCCTAACAGTAGCAGAATTACAGTTATGAAGTAGCAACAAAAATAATCTTCTGGCTGGGGTCACCACAACATGAGGAACTGTGTTAAAGGAACAGCATTAGGAAGGCCGAGAACCACTGACTTAAAGAGACATTCAAACGGGCCGCACGCCTTTAATCCCAGCACTCGGGAGGCAGAGGCAGTCGGATCTCTGTGAGTTCGAGACCAGCCTGGTCTACAAGAGCTAGTTCCAGGACAGGCTCCAAAACCAGAGAAACCCTGTCTCGAGAAAAAAAAAAAAATGGAGGGATACAGAGACCAGCCAGAGCTAAAAGTTACCAATGGTGTCTATCTTGCAGCCTGGCATTATATTGGCATCTGTGGAGGCTTCACATTCATCCTATTACAGCTGGTGCTTATCACAGCCTTTGCCCACTCATGGAACAAGAATTGGTAAGGAGCCCCTAACCCTAAAGGTTCCCCCCAAGGAGGGTGACAGGCATTATTGGATAAACACAGAAAGGTCACATTAGGTATTGCCCCTATGCCTCCCCATGAATAGTACCGAAATGCTCAAGAAACCAGATGTGATGCCACTCACTTGTGATCCCAGCACTGTAGAGGTGAGAACAGGAGGGTCAAACGTTCAAGCCAGAACAGGACTCATGAACTCACAAAAATGAAGCAGGGTAGGGAGTTCCAAATCAACCTCTTTAAAAAAAAAAAAATACATACACACACACACAGGTAATCAAGAATGGTGATACGGCTGGGCAGTGGTGGCACACACCTTTAATCCCAGCACTCAGGAGGCAGAGACAGGCTCCACGAACTCTGAGTTCGAGGCCGGCTTGGTCTACAGAGAGAGTTCCAGGACAGGCTCCTAAACTAGAGAAACCCTGACTTGAAAAAAAAATAATGGTGAAGCCGGGCAGTGGTGGCGTAGCCAAGTGGTGATGGTGCACAGCTTTAATCCCAGCGCCTGGGAGGCAGCGGCAAGCGGGTCTCTAAATTCAAGGTCAAGGTGGTCTCCAAATAGAGTTCCTGGACACACAGAAACCTGTCTCAATAAACAATAATCAAGCAAAAAAGTGACAAATACCCATAATCTCAACACTCAAGATGCTGAAGGATTGAGGCATGCTGGGGCAGGACTGCCAAAAGTTCAGGACCAATCTGAAATACATAGTGAGTTCAAGGACTGTCTGGAGTATATAGAGGTCCTGTCTCAAAACAAAAAAAAAAAAAAAAAAGCAAAGACCAAGAATATACTGTGTAGACTAGTGGGCTGACCAATTAGTGTCTGCTGAGAGATGGGGTTGGAGTGACAAACCCTAATCCACTTCTCTTTAGGCAGACTGGCGCAGCCCAAGACTGTACCTGGTTCCTAGCTGTATTACTGACTACCCTAGGATTCTACAGTGTGGCAGGTGTGGGAGCTTTGCTACTGTTCCACCACTATACACACCCTGATGGTTGCCTGCTCAACAAGATGATACTCAGCCTACATCTTTGCTTCTGTGGCCTCCTTTCTTTCCTCTCCATCGCACCTTGCATCCGCCTCAGTGGGTATTTGTGACTTAATAGTCTAGATTTTTGGGTGGGCTGTGTCCCTTTGAGTATTATAACTTTATTAGGCTTCTCAATTATCTAAAGAACCTCTGCCGCTTTTCCCACACCCTCAGCCTCCCCCAAGGATGAGGGTAGAAGTGCAGGTAAAAAGTGGGGAAAATTCATGTCAACTAATGACAGCTGTTCTCTCTAGAGCACCCAAGCTCTGGCCTTCTACAAGCCTCTATCATCAGCTGCTATATCATATACCTGACCTTCTCTGCACTGTCCAGCCGCCCCCCAGAGACAAGTGAGAACCCAAGTGCTGAAGACCTTTTCTGTTCCTGCTAAATGCCCAGCTTTTTTAACCCCTTTCTCTTCTGTTGCCCCTTGGCAGTAATCTTTCAAGGACAGAATCACACCTTGTGCCTGCCTGGCCAGAATAAAATGGAACCACAAATACCAGACACCTCGGTAGCAGTGTTGAGTGCGGGCATCATGTATGCCTGTGTGCTTTTTGCTTGGTACGTAAAGATGTCAATGGGAAGTGTGAGGAGAATGTCCAGGGCTGTGGTTTATTTAAACTGTAGAGCAAGACTAGAACCAGAAAAGCTCCCCACGAACAGGGACAATTTCTAAGAATAGCACTTTGTCAGATGATCTGTGTGAGATGACGGGGGCAGGGGAGAATGTCTTGAGTTTAAAATTCACAGACTTTAAGGGCCTCTGAGAGCAAAATACCGCTCCCCACTCCCACCCCAAAAGATACCACCGTTGACTAGTTGGCAATAAAAGCCCCTAATCCTTATCTGGCACAAAGTTAAACTCTTTCTTTCACAGCAACGAGGCTTCCTACCTGGCTGAGTTATTTGGACCCCTGTGGATCATCAAGGTTTACAATCATGAGTTCCAGGTGAGCATCCAGAGCTCACTAACCCCAACATCCCACCCCCAAACACAGAGACACACATCCTACCAACCTCTACCCAGAATGCTCAGATTCTAGCTATTTCCTTTTATTGAGTACCCACAATGTGCTAGGCACTGTACTAGATACTTTACATACATCATCTCGTTTAATTTAATCCTCACAACAACCCTGTGAGGTAGGTATTTGCTCCATTTCACAAATAGAGGAGTTGAGGCACAAAAGATTAAACATCTCACCAAAGTTTGCATAGCCAGTTATATGCTGGAGCAAGAATTTGAACCCAGGTGTGCCTCCACTTCTTATACCAGGCCAATATTTTCAAAGGGAAACTTTCCTAAATTAGTCCCCTTACATTGTCTTGAAGTCATTTCAAAACATGTTGCTTTGTTTTACAGAAGCCCTCACTCTGTTTCTGCTGCCCCCAAACAGTGGGACCAGAGGATGGTGAGCCAAGTGGGCAATCTAGGCAATGGTTGAATCCTGTAAAGTGCCAAAGAGCCCTCAAGAGCCTCCATAAGTCGGGGGAGGGGAGTTTCACCAACACTGCTTCCCATCGGCACTTCTCTCTCTCTAGGGCAAAGTAGCAGAGTCAGACCAACTGACCAAGAGAGCCCACCAGCCGCCCAGGTGCAGAGCCAGCATCTTTCCTACAGCTACTCTGCCTTCCACTTCACCTTCTTTCTTGCTTCACTCTATATCATGGTTACCCTTACCAACTGGTTCAGGTACAATGAAAGCAGACATAAAATACTCTCCTGAAAACCTAGCTTAAGGAAAAACTTGTTATAAGGGAAAGGCCCTGCAGAATCTCTAATCAGTCTTTGGTTTCACAGTTATGAGGGAGCAGAACTGGAGACCTTCACTAAAGGTAGCTGGGCTACCTTCTGGGTCAAAGTTGCCTCCTGCTGGGCCTGTGTACTCCTCTCTATGGGGCTGCTCCTGGCACCACTCTGTTGGCTCCCCACTCAGAATCACCACCACCCTGGTATCTTCAGGCAACACTGCCATCACGTCAGTACTGCCAGGTAAAATCTAACCCCCCATTCTCTATTTAAAAACCGGGTACCCTTTAGATTATGTTCCTAATCTTAGCTCTGAGAGTCATCTGGCTGAGCTCAGTACCTCAAGAACAAATGAGTACCACATAGGCTAAAATGGAAGAAGTGGCCAAAGATACCCTTGATTTCTTGATTCAGTAAAAACTGTCTTCATTCAAGCTCAAGAGTCTAACTCCCAGGTCAGTAAACTCAGGAGCTGATCTAAAGTGTGGCACCAGCCCCTTCCTAGCTTCTGAGCTAGAGATAAGGAGCAGGAAAGACCAACAGAGTCTGAAGATCTGGGTCTGCTCTTGGTAATCAAAAGGAAACAAGTGGTTCAGCCCTGGGCACAGGATGTAAGAGCCCAGAACCACAGAACAAACCAGGGCACAGGAAAAACAAGCAGAGGCTACCACAGGTTTTAATCCTGAACTTGAGGTCAAAGAAACTGGAAGACAAAAACCACCTTCATTCCACGAGGAATGACAGAACTTAAGAGAATGTGAACACCGGAAGTTGGTGAGCGAAGTTTTTTTTTTTTTGGGCCAACTTTCAAGCAAACAAAGAATGAGGAAGAGACATAAACTTGGGTCTTAGATCCTTCCCCTCTGATGGCCCTCAATACCATCATGGGGATGGTGTTCAAGGTCTTAGGGCATAAAATCACAGAAAAGAAGTCTATAGTTCTCAGAGGATTCCTCACCACCGAACTGGAGTGCTTTTCTGGTTGCCATAGTAAAATAAAGGCTTCTTCTGTGATGTCTCCCTTATGAAGTCTACAAATCTCTCTTAGTTGCCTAAAAAGTCTCCCCTTTTGGTGGGAAAGGGCAGTCACTCCTCCATCCCCATCCCCCCAGTCCCCAGTCAAACCAGGCGCTCACGGAATTACAAAGCTACTTTTAATACTTTGGGGTGTGCCCCACAGGAATAAAAAACACTGGGAAGGGGTAACCCCCTCACCCCCAGGAGTGGCCCAGGGGTAGAGAGGCTACCTGAGGGGAAGGAAGCACAAAAGGAACCCGCTGCAGACTCAGGGCAAAGGGAATGCCATCGGTGCTGGGACCTGTGAGCACTACAGGAAGAAACTCGAGCATGGTGGGACTGGCTCCAGGCACACAGGCGTAGGGCAAGAGGGTTGGACACGAAGCCACAAAGCTACTTGGGTTCCTCCTTCTTCTCGTTTGCCTTTTTCTGCTTCTGCTGCATGATCTCCGAGTCCCTGGGGGTAGAGATGATGGGGCACTGGGAGGTACCAGAGGGCAAAAAGGACAAGATGCAGGGGGATGAAGGGTACAAAGGATAAGATGGAAGTGGATGGGACAAAGTTCAGCATATGGCTGCTATATTCCCACCCTAGGCGAACAAGAGGAATAGAGCTACGGCTCAAAAGGCAATCAGTGTCCATCTGGATGTTGCCCAAGGGGTCAGAAGTCTGGCCACTCAGGCCCAAGGCTCTCTATTCTGTACTGACTACCACACCCAACGACACTAGTGAACAAGTCGGGAGAAGGGAGGAGATACAAGCAGCAAGGAGGTCCAAAAGTACTGGGCTGTCAAAACAACTGTTCTTGACGTGTGAAGCTCCCTGCCCTTGCCCTTAAGGTCACAACCCGGGCACTCAGAAATCAGCCTGCGGACCGGGACCCGCCCCAGTCCCTTCCTGTATAGCTGTGACCTAACAATTTGGAGTGGGGAGGAAATAAAACCCTAGAGGAAGCAATGCGCTCTGCCCCTCACACCTCGTCCAGACTCGAGCCCTGAAATAGTTCTCTTTCTTGGTACACCCCTCGGTCTAACCCAGGTCGCCCTGTCCCAACCCGTCCCGTCCTTTCCCCTCCCTGGGGCTACCTCTGCTTGCGGGCGGCAGCAGAAAGCCCATCATCTCGGCGCTTTCCCTTAACCGAGTCGCTCTGCTTCTTCATGTTCTTCTGGCGGGCGAGCTCTCGCTGGTTACCGCCTAAGAAGAGAAGGTAGAAAGTGAGGTGCCGGGGCTGCTCCGAGCACACACCAGCGCCCCTCCTCCCGCAACCAGTACCCGACTATGCCCCCGCCTCGGCGCCGACCCCCCAGAGTCGGGCTTCGGTGCCCGGGGTGTGGCAGCCGCCACGGGGCAGGCTAACTTGGGGTACGGGAGGGCGGTGCGGCCGAAGCTGCTTGGCGGCGCGAGTCAAGTTTGGGGTGCCGCGGGGGCCCAGACAGCTGCTACAGCGTATGGGAAGCTCCGGGGCCTCGGGGGCACGCGCTGGGGCCCATCACCCAGGGCACCCGGCTTCCCCAGCGCGGAAAGCCGCCGGCGGCCCGCGCCCAACACAGGGGTCTCGGCAAGTGGCGGCGTGCGGAGGGCTGCGCTTCCGGCTGTGCGGGAGGCAGCTGGAGAGCGCTCCCTCAAGAACCTTCCGCCGGGAACGCTGAAACGACGAACGCGCCGGCTCTCGGCCATGCGGCTAGCGAGAGCGGAAAGAAAAGGGCGAGAGGAAAGGGTCCCAGCACTCACGGGTCATGGCGACGGCAGCGGCTCCAACCTGCCTCCGTTGCGTCCCCTCGTTCTGGCCGACGTTGCAGGCCCCGCCCCCTCCGCGCGACGCCACCAAGTCGTCTCCTTCCTCCCGCCCCTTCACGCCCGGACGCCGACTCTCATTGGGCGGAGCAAAACACGTGGAGCGCGGTGCCACGCGCCAGCCCCGGAGGGCGAAGAGCGGAGCTCGGTGGGCGGAGCGCCGGGCGCGGGGCGGAGCTTCCCGGGAGCGCTGGGTCCGGCCGGGAGAAACTAGGCCGGGTCACGTGGGCGGCGGGGTGGAGGGGTGCGGCTGGCGATGTGGTGCTCCGGCGGTGCCGAGCACGTGACCGGGCAAAGTGACCTCATGTGGGACACTTTTAGGGTACTGACAAAGTCGCCCCAAGGCACGCGGTGGCGGGGTGGGGAGGGGGTGAGGGCGGGATTTCCTAGGTGGTTCATCCGGTTGTGTGCTATCAGTTTTTCTCTGGAGCGAAACTTTGTGCTGTTACTTAGGACTCCCATTCCCCCCCGCCCCCAGCCCCGTGGCCGAACACTTGCCACGGTTCGTCTGAAAACACACACAAATACTTTCCCACTTTCGTTCCTCGTTGCTGCCCCTTCACTGTGTCCTAAAGTGATCTGCAATCATTTCCCAAGAGCCTGCGCCCAGGGCTCCCCTACTGAGCTGCACTTCCAGAATGCCCACAGAAACTTTTGAGTGTACCTTGGGGGTGATGAAACACACTTAAATCCGTGGATTTACTTCAGGAACTGAGGTTAGGGAATGCTCCGGTTATATCTGTCTAGGCTGTTTCTAAATTCTATCATCTGCCCCAACAGTTTCTTCTGGATTGTTAAGAGAGATCAGGCTGATAACTAAAACTTGTTCTCGTTTTCTGTCATCTCACAGATGCGGCCCCGTAGATGGGGTTAGTTAAACCTTCTCTCCCATAGGTCTAAGACAACCTGAGTTCTGCTAAACTAACAGGAAACAACCCAACAGAGGGCAGAACAGTAGAATTATCTTCCTGCTGCCCAAGCCAAAGACAACTTTAGTTAAGGCCCTTTATCCTGTTTAGTATCATGACTGAGCAACTGAATTCAGACAGTGCACGCTCTAAAGCAGCGGCTCTCAACCTTTGGGGCGACCCAAAGGTCACCTAAGACCTTCGGAAAACACAGTTCATAACAGTGGTGAAATTACAGTTATAAAGTAGCAACGAAAATAATTTTATGGTTGAGGGTCATGACAACATGAGGAACTATTAAAGGGTCAAAGCATTCGGAAGGTCAAGAGTCACTGTCTAAAGTCTATAAAAGTCAAGTATTTCCTTTGTTCTGTGAGCTGCTGTTGAATCTACAATCCCAGCCCCAGCTTCTCCAGTACTTCAGGTGGCCAGCATTTTTTTTCTAGTTTTTTGTTGTTGTTGTTTGTTTGCCCATGATCTTCCAGGCAATTCTCCCATTTCTACCTCCAATCTTGATGGGGTGATCAGATTAAGGTGTGCACCATCACATTCAGCTTTTGTGTGTGTATGTGTGTTGGTTTGCTTTTGTTGTTTTTGTTTTTGCTTTTTTTGAGACAAAGTTTCTCTGTGTAACAGCCCTGGCTATCCTGAACTCTTTATAGACCAGGCTGGCCTGGAACTCACAGAGATCCACCTGTCTCTGCCACCCAAGTGCTGGGATTAAAGGCGTGCTATTTTTGGGGTTTTTGTTGGTTTTTTTTTTTTTTTTTTTTTTTTGGTTTTT